GGAAGAGAAGTGGAGGTGTATGGTGGCCTAGGGGTGTGATAGCTGAGAAGGAAGAAAAGACCTGTTGTTGAAGAGATCGATGTGTGGGGTGTAGAGGAGTGCAAGAGATCTTTTTTTTTTTATACTTGAGATTGAGATCCCTAGACATGAGACACTAGACATACTTGCAGGGTTAACATGTAGGGCTTCATTTTACCTGACAACACAGTTAAAGCTAACCCCAACTGTGTAGAGAGGAGAAAGCAAGGACATATCTGTATCATTGCGATGTTTTGTTAGTTATTGTCATAAAGTAGTGATATGTACAATTCCGCCTTGACTTGTACTGAAAATGGTGTTCATGCTGTACCTTGAATGCAGTGTTTCTGACTGAAGGTACTTCATCATGACTACATGTACTAGAGCTTGTCTGAAATAGTTACCTGTGACAGTAATGCAGTAATGTGCCTCCTACAAATAAAGACTTCTGTTGTTTTTTTGATACACTGTGTTCTGTGTTTCAATTTGTAATACCAGCTTCGTAGTCCTGTGGTTTTAGCAGGATTTTTTTTTTTGGCAGGATTTTTTTTTTTTTTTTTAAGCCCTCTCGCATTAGTTTTGGGGTCTCCAGAGGATGTCATCCATAAAATTAAATCAGTGTGGCCTAAGTATGTACAATGCTTACACATGTACGTATGTACATATAAATACTATCAAGGTCTACTCATGGTGTGAATTTTTGTCTTGATTTGAAATTCTTTGAATGTGATTAAATGTTGTACAAATACGTTATTACCATAACATAATACAATTTCTGATCAACTAATTTTATCGTGAACTAATTTTATCCTTGATGATTTTTTTATAAATGAAAATGACTACATAGATACTTTTTGATCTCAATAAATTTTTGTGAGTATGTACAAGTGCTTTTTGGGGGTTGTAGGGTGTTGGGGTGACCACACTAAGGGACATAAACATGATTATCAACAAACTATAATACGCAACATAGTATCTGTTATGATTAAATAATCTTTAATTTCAGATAGAAAATTTGGTTGGTATAACCATAGGAATGGTACCTGTTGATCTGTGTTTAGGTGAAGGAGCGTGTGAATCATCTTGTACAAATTTCTTTATGGCAAGCACCAATCCAACACTGGTAGATGCTGGAGATAATACCTTGGTAGGTGTGACTACTATACAGGAAGCAAGATGTGTATGCGGTGCTAGAATCGCTGTTCATGGTCCATGTGCTTCGAATCCTTGTTATAATGGTGGAACATGTACAAATACACCATCTGGATATGTGTAAGTATGATAGGACTTGGTGGGTTAACACAGTTGGTGATTTATTCGTTCACTGATTTTGCAACCAATCATGGGCAGGAAATAATATATCATTCTATGTACATCCTAAAAGTCTGTTTTAGACATATTTCAGAAATGAAAGGGACCTTTATGATAATGTGATTATTAGACATATATACATATATATGCTGAGACTGACATTGAATTCTTGTTATAGGTGCAAGTGCTCCAAAGGATTTGAAGGGCCAGACTGTGAGGATTTAAAACGTAGCTTTAGTGGCAATGGGTATGCATGGTATGAAACTTTACAGCAATGTGGAGAGACACATACCAGTCTGGAATTCATCACTGAGTCACCAAATGGTATCTTACTTTATAATGGTCCGATGACAGAAGTGAGAGATAATGAACCAGATGATTACATTGCATTGGAATTGGTCAGAGGTATTCCAGTGTTATATCTGAATTTAGGATCTGGCACATTAGTATTACAAATCGATAAATCACCACGCTTGGATGATGGAGAGTGGCACCGAATTGATGTGTTCAGAAATGAGAAGGTAATAATGATTGACAGTTTAGCAGAGTTGTTGGTGATAGATGGCAATAGATACCATTTTTTTTTCTCTTCAACCACTCTAACATAAAATAAAAATACATGACAAACAATAGGTATCCTCCTTGAATTTCACCTTTAAGTTTACATAAAATGTATTTGTTTGCTGTTTTCAGTATTAAGTAATCAACACTGACTGGAAAGTATTTATAGTTTGTGTATAACACACAGACACATATTACATAATAACTGTACTCTCAATTTCATTTTGTTTCTTTTCTTTCTGTAGAAAGTTGAATTAATGATTGATAGATGTAACACAGCTACTGTAGCAGAAACTGAGAATTCCAGCACAATAGATACATCTTCTTGTAAAATAGAAGGCACTACACCGGGTACAAACAAGTATGTATTAGACATATCTAAGGTCATTCAAATCATCAACTAATTTTAAGCTCTGCTGTAGACAGATTTTCACAAAAATTTGATCTGCTATGACATTCAGTTTCAATCCCAAATTCTCTGTACATGTACTATGAATAAACTGTTCATAATTGTTCATTTCAGACTTCTTAACATTAACACACCTCTCCAGCTTGGTGGAATAATATTAGAACCAGATTATGTGTACCCAGCCGATTATTTACATACAACAAATGATTTTGATGGATGTCTCAAAAATGTAGACCAGGATAGCAAACTTTATGATCTTGGATCTCCATCTAAATCTCAGAATAGTGACCAAGGATGTAAACAAACAGACCAGCATTGCTATGGTAATGGAGGAGTATATCTATGTGGTAATGGTACATGTATTGGCAGTTGGGATGACTTTTTTTGTATTTGCTTTCCTGGTTACTATGGGGCCAGTTGCAATATTGGTGAGTTGAAATGTTCATGTATGAATTTATCTTTTATAAAACAAACTTGACACATAGCTGGCTTAAATCAGTAATCGTTGAAACAGACTTAGTAGGAGCTGTCATCACCAAAGGTTATGTGATAATGCTTCTTAGTAAACGTCAAACCACTGAGTACAGCTAAATGTATCAATAGACCATTTACGTGTTTCTGTGTCACATGGTACGTTTGTCTTGACTATGACGTAATTATTAGTGGTGTTTTTATAACCACTAATTGTTAGTCCCCGTTCGGACGTAGTCCGAAAACGAGGACTTACGTTTTGCCCTGTGTGCGGCTGTGCGTTTGTGATCACCTGTATTTCGAACATGCATGGACCGATTAAGTTCAAACTTCACTCATACATCACACATTATATGGGACATA